AAAACTAGAATTTCAAGCTGTATGTGAATTTTTTAATCGTTAATGAATAAAAACTCTAAGAACCTGAAAGGTTGAGACTGAAACTCAGATTACGGATAGAGATTGGATGTGTACTTGGCACACTACGTATAAACTTCCACCTTTTTGCATCTTTGTCTTCAATTGTGATTTTTTGACAATCTCGTCCCCTAACATTTCCTCTTTTGTGTCCGTAACCCCTATTGGTGAATCCTTTCAAAAACAACTAAATTGCCGTAAAATACTGCTTTACCCTCGAGCTCAATTAAGCAAAAGAAAAGAAAAGAAAAGAACGTGTCTCGATTTAAATGTTGGGGACTAACTTGCTCGTGAACTATAAATCTGGAACCATGCTTGCAATTTTAACCAATTGAACAGGTGGTTCAACTTGTTCTGTCCCTTTGATCTCTCAGCATTAATTCTGCCTACTATATAAACTCAAGTTACCATCTTAAAGAGAGCAATTGAGGGAGCTTGTGTATCTCTATATTATCTGTGTGCGTGTAAGTATTCCATAGTGTCTGTGAAATTGATATAGAGAGGGAGAGAGTGAATTTTTGTCATCTTGCTTGATCATGGACAAGAGTTCTTGTTAAAGAAAACCAGCCCAACTCAACTCCCTTCGTTTTCTTGTTCTTTTTCACCAAATACTTGTCCCTTCTTCACCTAATCTCAACATATTTTTTCACACAGTACACACAGTGGAAAAGAGAGATTTTAGTAGGAGAAAAAAAGTCATTTATTGGAGTTTAAATTGATTTTTATTTTTTTTAAAATGTCTTCTGATCTCTTTGCATTTGACAATTTCTTTTCTGAACCGTTCTTTCCATTTACTGATTCCCCCATTGACATTTTTCAAGACTTTCAAGAAAATATTAATGGTAGTTCAAATTTAATTCAAGAGAATAACCCAATTGATGAAACAAATTCTTTGGAAAAAATTTCGTCTATCCTTTTGTCATCATCTTCTTCCCCACCAAGTAGCCAGCTTGAAAATCTCTCAATATCCCATTTAGAAAATGCAAAATACCCTTTTCCAGATGTGAAATCAGAGGAATTTCCAGTCCCTTTTGAGAGTTTTTCTGGTTATGATAATTCATTCATGCGTCAAAGCTATGATGGCAGTTCTGAGATTGCAATGAAGTTCATGCAGAGGAGTCTTAGCAGCAATTCATTTGACGGAAAACAAAAGAATTTATTACAGCCTGGATTTAATTATGTTTTGGAAGGTTCAAATTCGCAGAAACAAATCTTTAATTCAACAGAAAGCGGTTTTTCATCTGGTGAAATGAGAAGGGTTTGCAGCACTGGAGATTTGCAAGTTAGTTTTATACTGATCTTTCTAAATTTTAACAATTTTTTATCTTCTTCTGTTTATTTTATTTGATGAATTCTATAAATTTATAAGTGGAATCATTATCGAACTGCTCATCGATAGTTAAATTTTAAGTTGTCACAGTTCATCAGCAAAGTATCCCTCACCTACTGGTCGAATTTATTTTTCGTCCAAAGTCTAACACGTTGAACCCGTGACTTATTTCAGTACTATATTGAATCATCTCATATTAAACCTTTAACGGGTTATGAAGGGAAGGAATTTCTTTAATTTTTGGTCATTTTGACTTGTAATTAAGCATGTGTTTGGCCCCCACTATTCCTCATTACATTAAATTAATTTTTTCTCTCTCCTACTTTTAACCACACAATTTTCAATAAAATAATATTACACGTAAATCAAAAACTTTTCAACCACTCATTTTTCAAAAAAATACTATTCATCTCATTATAATCTAGGAATAATGGGGCTCAAACGGGGGCTAAGATTGGATCTTCATTTTCAGAGTATGAGAACAAAGTTGCAAACAGGCAATGCATTGTCCTCTAGCCCATTGTCTACGGAGAAGTCATTCATGGATGAAGCAAACTTCAAAGTAGGGCGCTACAGTGCAGAAGAGAGAAAAGAGAGGATTCAAAGGTACAGAGCAAAAAGGAATCAAAGAAACTTCAACAAGACGATTAAGGTACATTGATACTGTTCAACACGTACAATTTTTATAAAAGAATTCGGTGAATTTACCGTATTGAGTCGCTATATCTAAAAAGTTCATATATCAATCAAACTATTTAAGAAAATATTTTTTGATTTAAAAGAAACGGTACGCTCATATTATTCAACATGGCGTACATGTCGGTCCGATTCATATATTATGAGTGCACAGTTTTAGCCCCTGTTTGGGGCTAAAGACACCAACGTTGCTCAACTTTTGGCAAAATTTTATGTTAGCCACTAAAATTCGTTCTAATCACTTCAAGCACGCTTGTTTGTTTAACTAACGTAAAACGTTAACATGATAGCCTAGTTGGCTTATAATTGTCCTACCACGTCATTGATTTCATCAGTCAAACTAACGACTTGAACTGAGTGATCAACTTGAATCAAAACGAAGTTCAATTATTAACCTAAAATTTTGTTAAAAACTTAATCTAACGAATGAAGAGGAAAAGGAGACTTGATTCTTTCTCTTTATAGGCCTAACTCATTGGTCTAACTACTGTTAAAGAAATACTTTGTTGATCTACTCAGAAGATTTCATTATTATTTTCTTGATGTACTCACTTAGAAGATTTCGTTAGCATAAGCTAACAATATGGTTGGTATATTACAAGTATGCATGTCGGAAGACGCTAGCCGACAATCGACCAAGGATACGTGGCAGATTTGCGAAAAACGATGAAGCTGGAGAGATTCTCAAAGCACCAACGTTCAATGGATATGAGGACAAATACGATCGTTGGGTAATATTCTCCTCCATAACTTTATGTTTAATTCATATAAATAATATATAGGCTTTAAATTTAATATTTTTTATTAGAATTATTTAGCAAGAAAGTACTCATGATGACTGTTTTCTTGTTATTATAACGTAATATGATACGTTAAAATGGACAGTATTAAAGAAGACAATTAAAAAATATTTCATGGTGAAATCTTTTTTACTATTGTCCATTTTTATCTAGTTTGATACAATACATGTGTTTTCAAGCCCTTTTCAATATAGCATGCATGTTTGGCTTTGCTTTAAAAAAAAAAAAAAAAAAAAAAAAAAAAAAAAACCCCCAAAAAAAAAAAAAAAAAAAAAAAAAAAAAAAAAAAAAAAAAAAAAAAAAAAAAAAAAAAAAAAAAAAAAATTCAAGACGTTAATACACATAATCTTGCTTCGACTTCGAACTAATCATCATGATCTTAACTCATAATATGAATTTGTATGTGATTTGCAGATTGATGCATTTCTTTATGAAGAAGAAGATGAAGGAATTAAAGGAGGAGGGCCATTCTTCAACAACTTTGGTTCAACTCAGTATCAAAATTATTACTAGAGATGATCAGTTCACGTGAGCAATTTGGGATCTATAAGTCCCTTTAAGTCAAAATAAGTTAGATTCTTAAGTTGAGTTTAGTTTGACTTTCCATTTGGAAATAGTAGTTTTTCCCTTTACCTCAAGTGATAATCATATGGTCATGTTTGGAATGCAGTGCTGAAGAAATTATACACTATAATAAAGATATTAACTTTTTCTATTTTTTTCTTGATATTGTCGTGTGCTGTATAACAAGTCATATGTTTTTTTTATAGTGTTGAATATTGGTCAAGAGATTTTTGGATCTCTAGAAAAAGAAACATGCATTCATTTTTTTGGATCTCTTGCAATAACTCTTTCGACTCTTGAATATGAGGGACGTTCCTGATTCTGTACCTAATGTATGAAGTTTCGTGGATAGGGATATTTTTGTATCGATTTTGTCCTCGTAAGTGCATCAAGGTTGTTTGATGTAGATTTTTTACTATAGATTTTGTGATTTTATTTTTTAAGAATGTGTAATTAAAAAGTATGAAAGAGTTATACATTCATGTGAAATTGAAAATGTGTTTAGAAAAAAAGATGAATATTAAAGAATGTCTAACAAACATGAGCTTAGTGTTACACCTTGTCAACGAGGCTTTGGTCAGAGCCACGAGGCAAAATCTATTGCAAAAAATAGAGGCACGAATGCCATGTCATTTTGGTGACATGACAACTTTGACCGAACCGATTAGTAGCTGAACCTATATGACGGAACCGAATCCATCAATTGCAACTAAGTCGCCATAGTTGAGGCGAACCTATAGAGTCACCTCAAGAAAGGATCTTCATGAAAGATCTTGTTGCAAGTGGATGATTTGACATCTCACTGAAAAGGCTGTCCTATTCAATCAACAAGTCATGTCAAGTCTTATATCGTCGCCACTCTCATTATAGCCTAGATTGGGAATGATTGATTGATGTTTATAGCAAGAGAGTCCAACCGCGTGGATGAAGTCACGTGTATCTTCATCCAATGGTTCACATTTATCATCTTCTACTATAAAAGCTCACAAGTAGTCCCATTCAAAGGTAATGCAAGTTTACATTCTAACGATTTATATACAATCCTATTCTATTTTTGCCCTCTAAACCCCCCAATTCCGACCTTTTTCTTTGATACATTTGCGTGTCAAGTTCGTCTCACACCAAAACATATATTTCACTGATACTGACTTGATCGTCAAAGTGCCTGCAGCCGCCTCTCCCACCGTCGGAATTTGGCCATATGTTCTAACGATTTGTTCAAATGTGTAGGATCAAAACTTACATGAACACTAAAGGAGTTGGAATTTATTGGCCATGTCACCTCTCCAAAAAGTGAGATGAACACTTAGTTCAATGTGCAAAAGTTACCAAATTAACTTCTGTTCATGTTTTATATTCTAGACGGTATTACACAAGATTAAAAAATTAATTATAATATTTAGTCATGTCCAGTCCTTGAACATGTAGTGCAATGCTAGGAAAGAAAAAAATAAATAAATGTAGGCATTTTTGTCAATAAAGTTGAGCAAAAGCACTACATTTTTATTTTATTTTTTTATAGATGATGATAAAGTGCTTTCTGGATATCTTTGTCAATGGTTTTATTATTAATCATATTATAAAATCTTATAGGTCACCTTACCTAGATCCTCCTACAATGGAGCACCTAATGTACTTTATATATAAAATAAAAATGTGCTTTGTACCTGCAGGCTAAGAGCTTCCTATTGAACTAATCAACTTGAAAGACAAGTTAGATGCTTCAAATTGAGCTGTAGGTTGCAACATATGCTGAATTGATCAACTTGCCAGGTAAAAAATAAGGAATATTGCTCAATTCTATACGTTGAAGACCACTAACTACTAAAAGAAAAAGATTACGAATACATTTAACATGCAAGTCTAATTGCCATACAAATTTGAGATCGATTACGTGAATCCCTTTTGATCCACACAAAAAAATTAATCTTTGTTCTTGAAAAATTTAAGATTATATAATTAATATGAATAATTTTTCACCACTCCCACTTATATTATACAACCGATCATACGTAGAAACTGTCATGTATAGCTTAAATATTTTTCACAGCCTGCTATCTCCAAAATGAAACTTTTAGTATTGGATCCAACCTATATACAACTTGCAGTCATCAGCAAGTTCATATTAAGTTCAATGAACTAGTGATCTTGCAAGTTGTGTATTATATAGAATATAATATTTTGTCACTGTTTGAAGTTGGTTGCCACAAAAAGAGTTTTATCAAAAAATTTATCAACTATTTTCCAAAAATTTCTGGAGAAGCTATGATGAGTTAAAATATAGAATCGCATAATTATGTGGCTAACAATAATGATAATTTGGCAAGAAAAATCCACCTGTGCATTATTTCTATCATCCAACTAAGCAAAAATACGCATTGTTGGACAATTTTGCTTTTTTTAAACGCGTCTTTTGGAAACAGATAAAAAAAAAAAAAGGAAGCAGCACGAGTTATCCAACCATATGCATCTTAATTAAGAATAAATTAACATTTAGGTGATGATTTAGTAAATAAATAAATAACATTAAATAGTGTAGGTGACATTGAATGAAAAATTAAATGTGATTTAACTGATTGGGATATATCTCATATAGACCTCAAACTCTCCTTTATAAGAGATACAATTTTTATCCAACAAATCAAAAGAGCCAGGAATACATCAAAATTAACGTGACATGTTATCATTGCAAAAGATTTTGATGTACATAACTTACTCAATATTTATTGTAAATATATCTTAATTTGCAAGAAAGATAGGTAGCTATTATAGAATTATTAAAAATAATAAGAAGGCCTTCTCACTTTCTTCCTTATTTTAAACTTTTAAACTGAAATCAACTTGGATTTGATGAAACTGGCAAATTTCAACTTGCTCCATCCGATGGTCAGTTCAGTACTCAATCAGGCCACACATTGACTAATGGCACTAATTTTGTGCTGCACTTAGACATTAGCATGATTAGATTCTCGACATCATTATTTTTACACTCCCCAAATAGAAAATATGTTTCTGTTGATAGAATCTTTATTTGGACACTATTCATAATTGTCTCAAGTTTGAATAAAGAGGACGATTTCAATAAGTTGACGTTCTGTATAAAATGTTTGATTTGACAATTTTATTTTGAAATTACGAGTTGATCAGACTCTATTTTTAGCTACACATTTTAGTTGACTCGTAATTTTTACCCCTTTTTTTAAGTACATGTTTCATGAATCCAAGAACTTCTAATCTCAAAAAGCTTTGTCTAGTAAGAACGAAATGTTATGAGTTGAATGGTCATCTGATCGCATAGTTTGCATTGTATCATCTCTCTTTGGTTGTGATCAAGTAATCCTTAAGTTTCCTTGATCCACTTTAAAAATAAAATAAAATAACAGTTATTATTATTGTTTGATGATCAAGTTAATTTTAGTTATAAGTTCATTCTTTTAAGGGGCAAGACAGGAAAAGAGGAAGCATAAAACTTTGGATAGAGCCATGGCCTATAAATTATCAACGTGTTTGTATCATATGGTCTATTGTACTTGTTAAGTAAATTTACCCCTTTTTAGTTTAGATAAAAATAAATAAATAAATAAAATTATTTATAGTATATTTTGATAAAAATTGATAAAATATGAGATTGAAAAATTGATAGAAATTGTGAATCTCGTGTAATGTGTGGATAAAAGTAAAATTGAAGAAAAATGAGGATCAAACATTGGTTTGGGGGGTGTCGTCGATTGAAATTTTGATGGATTTTAAAAGTCATTCTAAATTTAGGTGCTTTCAATCAAGATTTTAATGAAATTTATGAAAATTTAGATGTTCCTAATTGAAATTTTAATGAAATCCTTTAAAATTTAGACATCCTCAATAACTAATGGATTTATAAAGATTTTATTAACAGAAGAATTTTAAAGGATTTGGATAGATTTTGAGTTTAAAAATACATATAATCAATTTTTTTTTTTTTTTGGAAATTTCACCACATTTAATGAGATTCTTATGGGATTTGTAAGAGTTTATTCAAATCCACGGAATTCATTAAAATTTATAATATTTTAAAATTCATCAAAATTTTAGTTGAAAACACCCTAATAGTAATGATTTGAAGGAAGTATTGAAAGAACACTAATTTATTAAAGATAAAACTTTAAGTTGTTGTTGGACACCGCGATTGGACAGCTCTAACCAAATTTGGTAAATAAATCAACAGGAAAGAACTCAAATTATCTTCTAAATTCTTATGAGTGAAAGTTGCAGAACAAGGGAATTCAGTTTTCTAATGGAAAGTTTAGTCAAAGAAATTTCCAAGCCTAGAGAGTAGAAGTACTATGTTGGTTATTATTTTTAAATCCTAATCAGTGTCATCAAATCAATGGTCATAATCAACGTTTAGCATAAACAACTTGAGATTACTGTTCAAAAGATTGACTGGAAATAGCATAATGTCAATTACGCTATTACATATTCCGTCCCTTTCAACGGAAAGGACATACATACAACAGCACGATGGTAGCTTTAAGGCCCAAGCTTGAGTTCAAGAACCCTGTTAGGTGTACAGACAAGTAAGGGTTCACAGAACCCCTATCGACACCTCAAAATAGGGGGAGTAGTTTTTTTTTAGCCATTTTTATTTGGGTGGATCCCACATTATTGTGAGTATTTTGGCAGGATTTTGTGAATCTTGTTTCTTTACAAATGGAAAAATCCTTAGTTCAATTTATACATTGACTTTCTCGTTATTGAAGTGGATGAGATAAAAATTGCTCACTTGCTAATGTGGCTTATGTATGTCATTTTTATTGAAAGGGAAAGGGACAAAATATGTAATATTGTCATTGACATTATAATAGTTTCAGTCAACTTCACAAGCCACATCAGTAAGTATGAAGTTTTATCTTGCTCACCGTGGTTAGAAGAACAATTTCGTCAATTTATAATCTCCCCATAGACATAGTTTAGTGTCTATCTAATATCGCATGTTAAACAATGCTCTAAATGCGAGTATTAATGAAGCAAATTCTTGTAATAGTAGAACATCTTACAAGAATATTTTGTAATTCCAAGCTTCCCTTTTTTCGTAACACGTTCTACATACTAGGTACAACCAATATTAGCTTCAAAAAGTACTCATCCACCAAAAGAAATATGGGAATGTTG